CACTTCCATGGGAGTTTTACGGATAGAGAATGATGCATAAGCAGAAAGGGAATATTAAAAAGGCAGATTGTCCTGTCAAGTATCTCATCCACAGCACCACCCATCAATTCTTTCCTATTAAAAACGCACAACAAAGTTTTTAATTAATCAAATTCAGAAATAATTAATAGAGGAGAAATCATTGCATCTAATTCTGAAGCAGAGGCCAATAAATATGCATACAATATAAACTTACCACCAAGAGAAGAAACAGCCAAATGAGGCTCTATTTGCATTTGAATGTTAAAGGAATGCTTACTAGCTTCCTTTGGGCAGAGCTGTTTATTCGGGTTTGTGGAACCAGTGCAATGGACATCAGGTGCTGCCAAGTCCAACTAACAGCTACATTGATGCCTTCCTAGGCAGAGAATCCATGAGGGTGACAGAACTGCAGGTCTCATCACTATGAAACCATCCAGCATGACAGATGCCAGCAAAGCAGAACAAATGGCGAGCCTCTCCTAGATGATTAAGAGTTAGTCATCGAGAAAGCTTGGTTTGTTTCAAAATGTTTATTCTGCATGTTGAAAAGGATGTTCAGAGCTAAGGAAACTGAAACTGGGCAATTATTCCAACTACAGATAGGTCAATGCAATTAAACAGGGCTGTTAATATGCAGCTAAGTCACCCTGTTGGGTTGAAAAACAAAGTTGGAACCCAGCCTGCTGAGATTCTGTTCTTCCCATGTAATTTTAATCCTCAGATGAAAAGACAACCAGAAAGCCTGAACCACAGGTACCTCACAACAATTTTATATGACCCTTGGTGTAGAAGCCAAGGTATTCCTCTCCTGCTATCATACTGGGGTTGTCTGAAGGGCTTACTATCCATGTCCAGTCAGCCACATTTAGACCTGCCGACCTTAGCTATTAGGCCTAGTTGCTCTGGTGTCATGAAATCTTTATATATTTTTTCATATGGCAGTGTGGGCAAAACTACCAGGCCAGGATAGTAGAATAATTTCTTAGCACTTCTCATTCAAACTTCCAACAATTCCTTAACATGAACATAACTGGCAGAGAATAGATGCAGTACAATGTACAGTACAGTGTACAGGAGCCTTCTCTAAACAACACAGATGTAACAATCTTGCTTGAACATATGTACTCTGTGTCCTAAAACACAGTTATTTCTCAATTTTGCAGACTAGTAATACATGGCGCACTACTCGTTTCCCAAAATGGGGCTCTAAAAGTCACAGAATAACAGTTCATTAGGGAACTTTCAAGCAAGTCATGTTGCACTTCATTTGCTTTTCTCATCATCTTGGTAGCAATTCTGTTTCAGTACCTGTGCATACATACAGTAAGCTTGGGTCTGCTGGTGTTCCTGAATTAAAGCAGAAAATATAGCTTTACCTCCATGCCCCTCAAATCAATTTGACACCAATATCCTTTCCTTGAGTCTGCAAGGTGGTGGGACCACAGTTGCAGGAGCTTCCCGTTCTTGATGGACAGCATCAAATAAGGTTGGCGTGAGGGGCAGAATGACTGGCCTGGAGGTCTCCAAACAGACAGCCTCAACGACCAGGTCTTTTGCTCTGCCTGGGTCCAGCAAGGGTTGAGCCCGTCATCCTGAGGGCCTAATTAGAAAATTGCCCAAGGTCCTTTGGGGTGCAAGGCAGCAAAAAAGGTTGTAGGTGAGCTCATCTGATGGGTGAGCAAAGGATGGGTCAGGAGAGGAGGATCAGACATTGAACTGTATGGTTCATGAACCAAGTGCGTAGGGTTAGGTAGGGTCGCAGTCAAGTGACTGATCCCGTATTTGCCTAGAGTAGGATGACGGGGAGTACACAGCCGTCATTTTCCTTGGCTCATGGGATGGGCCACGTAATGGGCCAGGTGCCAATAGGTCCATGGGGGTAGAGAAGGTGCTGGATCTAGTGGGGCTCCCATGCAGCCAGTCACGTATGGACTGAAAGAATGCCCAGCATTCCCTGTAGAAACTGACCGCAGACTCCCTTCTGTAGGGGGGCTGGCCCTGCAAGCTCTGCACTCTTTTTCTGCAAGTGTCAAGTGGGACCCGTAGTGCTGCTTGTCCGTCAGGAGATTGATGTATGCACTGAAGTGGTTATGGAGGGACATCATGCAGGTTCATCCTGGGGCAGGTTCTGGGGGCTGCTATTTTGGAGGAGACTGCCTTGGGTTACACCTCTGAGAAAAATGCGCTTGGTGCCAACTGGAGGGGCTAAATCGGGGGCTCCTGTGCCAGCTTCAGAACTGGAGAGGAGTGAATCTGCAGTTCCATATGTGGCACCATGTATCTGGCCAGCAGGGGGCAGCATATCACAGCATTTCTTAGTGCATTTGCCACCATTTCGGTATTTTGCTGAACTGGACACCTTTGGACATCTAGGTTTTTTGGCTTTTTAAGCTTTAGCTTTTTAGTGGGGTGTTGTTTGGCTTCGGAAGCACTGCTGTAGGACTAGAAACCTATGTTGCAGGAGGGGGCACTGCTCACCAAACTAGAAGGCTGAGGAGAATTACTTGCTTGTAAGTAATTCATTTTTATTTATTGACTTACTTATTTGGTGGAGAAAAATGAAGAGAATAAATAAAGAGTGGTTGGGGAGAGAAGAAAACAAGAAGGTAGCTCTGGGAGAGCTAAGAGAAGCAGAGGAAGACCCTCCCAATGCACTCATGATGGTGATCGAAGAACTGGAGTCTTGGTGGGAGCCCCGGCCTGCATGCTGGACTTGCTTACAGGCTGGGCTCCCATCAAAGACTAATTAATCAGCTTTGGAAGATCCCCATGGATCCCATATGTGTTGATGCACAGAGACCGCAAAGGAAAACTGCATAAGGAAAACTACATTGAGCAGAGACTGGGGAAGCTGGGTCTTTTCAGCCTTGAGAGGAGGAGACTCAGAGGGGACCTGTTAGTGACGTACAGGTACATGAGGGGGTGTCATGCAGAGGTGGGTCATGACCTTTTTCCCCTGCAGTGGATGGCAGGACATGTTCCAATGGGGCAAAGCTCAGGCAGCCAAGATTTAGGGTAGATGCCAGGAAGTACTTCCAGGTGGTTAGGACCCCTGGGGTATGGAAAGGGCTTCAACAGGAGGTGGTTGAAGCCCCATCGGTGAGGGTGTTCAAGGATAGGCTGGACATGCACATGGTGGGCATGTCGTGAGCGGAGCCGGCTGGAGCCAGGGGTCAGATTAGACAGCAGGCTCCTTCTGACTCATTCTGTTTCTATGTTTGTGTAAACTCAGCAATGGAACATGCTAATTACATAAGTATTGGTGTACTGATAATCAATACACAGGAGTAAGACAGAGGGCATGTTTCCATGGGATGATGTAAGCCTTAAGTAGAAGATTTGCAATGAACTGTCTAGCTATAAAAGGAAAAAGTAATTAGTGGCAACATCACTATTGGGAGATCATAGAAAACACATCTAAAGCAGCAGCACATGGAAAGGATTCAGGTGAACAGTTCCTCTAGGCTGAAGACAGTCTCACATGAGTAGCGGATGCTGAAAATGCTGATTAGTGTTTCCATAATGTTTGGGCTGTGAACATGCAGGGTTGACCAACCTGAAGTTGACAATGCAATTACTGACTGGGGAACCTCACTGCACTTCTACATTTATGAAGAGAATGCGGCATGCTTTGCCTTTTGGGGTGATCAACAATTACTCTGAGGCAAGTTGCTGAATCCCAAATTGTACATCATACATACTACACCCTCAGCATTATATCAGAGCCACGGAGTCTTCTACAGAGTAGTAGTCTAGTAGATTAGTAGATTTAGTAGATTTTCATATATATAGCCAAGATGGTACCAGTTTTTAAATTATTGATTGTATCTTTTTATGAATGTTATGAGCCGCCCCAAGGCTTTGTTGCGATGGGGGCAGCATAGAAATGTTTTAAATAAATAAATAGTCCAAATCAGATAACCTTTATTCCCCCTTGACCCTTTAATTCTATCCTTCAGTGGCTCTAAGTCCTTGTTTGGACAATGCCAGCACACTAGAGTAAATACAGCTTTCTGCACCATGGCCTTTGTTTTTATGGATTACGCTGGAAGACACCACGGCATGTTGTACTCTGGACATACTGGACTCTGGCATGTGATAGCATCCAGTTGCATAGAATAGCATTCATTTTGGTAAGATGGTTTCTTGCAGCAAAGGCAACAAGCAACAAGAAGCAGTATACTGGGGAAGTGCCATTTCACCCTTGGCTGTCTTCTGCATGAGCTTATCTCCTGAGGAAAGTGCCCCAATTCTTTCCTAAGCAATCAAGAATCAAGACCAGGACGAGTTGTTTATGCAAATGATCTCTGACTGATGTCAAAACAAAATGTATGAGTGAATGAATCCATTAAGCAACACAGATACTTGGGATGTGACAAAAGTGTTTGATGGCAAGGCAGAACCTATTTGAAAAATCCATGCTCTGGTAACCTCTTGTCTGGACTACTGTAACATGTTCTACATGTGGCTGCCTTTGAAAATGACAATGGAGACTTCGATTGGTTCAAAACAGAGCAGCAAGGCCGCTAACATAAGCACATCACCCCAGTCCTCTGTCAATTACATTGGCTACCAATTGAAGTTCAGGCCTGATTCAAAGTACTGACTTTAACATTTAAAACCCTAAATGGTTTGGGGCCGGGATATCTTCTGTGTGCGCCTACCTGAACCCTGAGATCATTAGCGGTAGTCCTTCTCAGAGCGCCCCCTCCAAAGACAGTAAGGAAGGTGGCTACCAAATTCACTCTGGAGATATCCCATCACTCTGGAGCAGAGTTGAGTGGGTACAGGAAGGGATACAGGAAGAGGAAGCAATGCTACCCATTCCCATGATTTCATTCCAAAGCGTCACTTTCTTTAACGAGTATGAATAGTTAAGAGGTGGAGATAGAAGGGTTGAATGACTTGAAAAGAGCAATTCTGCCCAATTAGTTCTGCAGAATTTGCACCTTGACAGAAGTATAAAATTCTTCTCTTACCGTCATGGCCAGAGTTGAGAAGATGTTCCCCAAGGTCACAGCCAAAGACTCTCTCCTTTAAGATCCCACGTTGCTTCAGCTTTTGTTTTGTTGGCCGAGACTTCATGAATGTGCGCAGAAAAGTAATAAGCTTGCCGTGTTTTTTTGACACTGTCAAATTGAAACAAAAATTTCATTTCTTGGGCAGGAACATCCATACAGTATTTTACTGACACACAGTTGATTCTAGACAGTATCAGTCACTTTTACTGGCATGCACATACCTTTCCAGTTCTCTAAAATGGTCTCCTCCCCCTTCCCTTATTCCCAGTACCATTTCATGAAACTGATCCAGGGGAGAAATTTGAAATGAAAATTATATTTAGGGCACAGCATGAGGCAACAGTTGTAACTCTCATTTATTGGTAATGCAGATGGAAAGGCTGGTAGAAGACTGAATAATAGGAATTCTACATAAAAATGAGTGATGCAATCCATGCTTTTATTCATGGTTTCCTTTCATATAGTTGATTGCAGTGGCTAAGTCACAACCACTTGTTAACAGTAACAGATGAGAAGCTTTTCTGACCTAGAGGAAATGGACTCGTTCCTTTACCTATGGTCATCCACAGTACACCTCACTGGTCAGCTAGTTGCTGATCAACACCAAGCCACTACTTCTGCTCAAATCCATTTTCTTGAGGGCACCAAAACCCTGCAGCTCCTTTGGAAACATAATGTGCTTTTAACCTGTATACAACTTTACTAAGTAGTGTTCTCAGTGGTTCTCAGTATTCTGTGATTTTACAAAAGTTTTAGGCTCCTTTTGGTCTTGCTCATGGCATGTAGTGGAAACTTGTGCTCGATCCAAGGATTTATTCAGTTTTATTTTGCTCATTGATTGATACTATTTGGAGATGCTTCAGGCATTTGTAGGGACTAATTTCAGAAACTGTCTCACTTCAGGAATACAAAGATCTATGGCCATCTGGTCCTCCTCTTTAATAGCTGGTCATTCAAAAATGGATATGTTTTCATATGCCCCAATTTTGTGGTGCATTATTGGAGTGGGGTATATAAAGGCATACCTTTTAGTCAAGTACATGTTGTGTCTATCATTACCCTCTTTGTTTGCAAATTTTGATTTGTGTTCAGTAATCAATCAGGGTTTTTTTCTTTTATTGATAAATTATAACATTTTATTGTTAGAAATGTTTCCATTTTCTTTGGTTTACTTTGATTCTTATCTGTTTGTGTGTATTATTTTTAGATACTTTGGGCTTCCTTCTGTTAGAAAATCTGGGATTAACATTAAATTAAATATTAAACATTAAAATCAAATAATGAAATGCATGTATACATCACAACTTTGACTGTTAAAGAATGGCAGAACACAGTTTTTGTATGAGATTCTTGCACTCTGGATGAAGACATTGGCCGGGTTTACATGATGAGGGAAGAAAAAGAAACCACAGTGACTTCTCTTTCCTGTCCCACATGCGCTGGCTCCACACTCATTTCCACATTTACCTGTGCCAGGCACTGGTTGTCATGGTGTATGAACCCAGCAAGTTAAGTAGTGTGATTAGCTTCCAAGTCACTGCACAAGTCATGGCTTGCTCTAGGGTTTGGGATGGTTTAGAGGACACCCCCACTGTCCTCCGGCTCCAGATGACATAGTAACCCATGTCCTAAGGCAGCATGCAACCAACAGATGCAGGATGGGGAAAAGAAGGCTTACAAACCCAGCCATCAATTTCTATCAGCCACTGAGTTCTTGGAAGAATGTGCCCAAAAGTTTTTGGGTTTTTTTAATCAGTGACAAGACAATAGGAGGAAACATGAGTGATGGATTCAACTTTTATACTGCCAGCATGGTTAAGTACAAATTATGACTACCAACTGCGGAAGCATCAACAACTTATGTGTTCACACAACTATAACCTGATAACCAAATAGTATTCATGAGCATATATAAGTTAGGGAATGCACACATAGTAAAAACAAGGAAAGCAAGCCAAGGAGTGGAGACCAGTGCGGCATTTCTTGACCTATAATGTAAACTGGACTACACAAGTTCTCACTTATGTCAAGATTTTCCAAGGTTCATTGAACTTGAGACAACGCAATGGAGATTTATACGTGCAGCAATTACCCCATGATGGGAAGGAAATGGTCCTAAGTCAAAAGGGGAATAAACTTAGCATATATTTGAATCAGTAAGCAGGACAAAGCTGTTCGACTCCTTTTCTTTTCTTTTTCCACTAAAAGGAAAAACCTCCTTATCTTACTCAGTTGCTTTTGTTTGCAAGTGATCCTCTAGAGACTCAAATTAAAGCCACAACATGAAGCAAGTTACAAAAGGATTTCCTTTGTTTCCAGCCTTTTCAGTTACCAGGAAGTTATAAAGGTTCACTAAGCTGCAGTATTAGCAATCAGACTCCCTGAGTTTTTTCTTCTTAAAGACCAAACGGAAGGGGTAAGTATCTCAATTAACACTGCAAAAACAGTTCCTCTAGTAATCAAAGTACATCAGAATAATACCCTTGTATAGAAAACAGCTATGAGATCTTTATTTCAAGTTAAAAATAAAGGGGATCTGCATCTGCCATTACTCTGCATCTGATCTGGAGATCCCAAACTGTGCTGGATGTAAGCAATTCCAAAGCAAAGTCATGGGCAAAATTATCCTAAGGCCTCCAGATCATGTTTAGAAGGCCAAAGGATTGTTTGGATCTCCAGGTGAAAGGTGGAAAAGGGTTCTAACCATAGAACTGATGTGCCCTCAGTTCCCCTTCCCACTCCCAATAGACAGAATGGTAGGAACCATGTCCAGCTGCATTTCCTAGGTCATAAAAGTAACCTCAGGGAAGGGGGTGAAGAAGGCGTTCTGGGAGGTGGGAAGACCATGCAACCAGGTTGACCAGGCTAAGATGTGCCCTGCTGGTGCTTCAGCCTCCTCTCCCCATCCAACACACCTCAGCTAGGTGGTTGAAACAGGTGATCTAGCTGATGCTCCTCCTGCTCTCGATAGGATGCCCATAATCCTCCAAGTTCAGAGGCAGCCCATTGGATTGTGCCTGAATACTGCAAAAAGGAGCTTAGCTAAGCTTCGATCAATCAGAATGTTTCCCTTTCACACATGAGTATGGCAGTTACTGCTGGGTCAAACTTTTGATGAAATGGAAATTCACCCTGACTTTAGGAAGGGTTGGCAGCAAAAGAGAAAGAGGACAAAACTCCTTCCTCTCTTTCCCTATTGCGAGTGTGGGAGGGAGCGAGGTTATGAGGTCAGGGAGTCAATGTGCACTGCACTTTCTCTAGCTTTCTGCTGCTGTCAGTCAACATTTTTAATTCCTCAGAATGCTCTAGAACAATGTTGTATCCTGCTCTCACTCCATTCTAAAGGACATTCAGAGGACAGAATGACACCCCCCCATTAAAATGGCATGGAGTCATTCTAGAGGTATGCTAGGAAATTAAAAATGGCAGGTGGCGGCACGGAGGAATGTGGGCATGTAGAGTGTCCTCATTCTTTATATCTCCCACCCTGGCTGCCTTTGAATGTCTGTATGCATCATCTCTATCTATCTATCTATCTATCTATCTATCTATCTATCTATCTATCTTCCGTCCTTCCTTCCTTCCTTCCTTCCTTCCTTCCTTCCTTTCTTCCTTCCTTCCTTCCTTCCTTCCTTCCTTCCTTCCTTCCTTCTAGGATTTATTCAATTTATATACTGCCCCACTAGCCATAGGTTCTTTGAGCAGCTCACATTATTTTACAAACTAGAACAACATAAAAATTATACAATGATTAACCTGACAAAAGATCAGCAATAGAATCCACAGGTAAATTATCAAAATAAAATAAAGCCAAAACAGACAAAATAGGATTAATAAAATAAAATAATGAATTATACACATACACACACACCCCAAAAATAAAACATAAACCATTAAAATTTAGAATATCGATATCTAGCATTTGAAAATCCTATCATATTGGCATCAGCATAAAATAAAACATCATTAAAATAAGAATTCGCCTCGTAAAATAACAATGGGACAGCTATGTCTTTAGTTGGTGCCTAAAGACCAAAATAGTGGGTGCAAACTGGACCTCCAGTGGAACGGAATTCCAAAGTCGGGGTGCAATACCAGAGAAAGCCTCTTCCTTGCAAATGCCCTCGCCCCTTTGCTAAGAGGGGGAATGTGCCTTCAGATGACGAATGCAGTCGACGGGCTGGGACATATGGAGAAAGGTACTCCCTCAGACTACCTGGCCCCAAACTGTTTAGGGCTTTGTACATTATTGTGAGCACTCTGAATTGGACTCACCCAGCAACTAGCAGCCAATGCAGCCTATTTTTCCAGCTTGGTCTCCCTCCCCAGCACTCTAACCACCTGACCTTGCCTTCTAGCATACAGAGGTGCAAAATGCAATTTTATCATTCAGCCTGAGTAAAGTGCTTCAATGCAGAATTCCTGACTAACGTCCTGACTAATTTCATTAGTTAATTGCATGGGACACTGAAGACTATTACCATGAGAATTGCTTTAGTTCTTTGTGAACAAGTCTGGGTGAGCTTTGGTCTCATTTGGTCTCAATTCCCTTCTTCTTCCTCTAGCACAGCTATGAGATCAAAATGAAAACTTCCACTGCTTTATTTAAATTGACCATAGTTTATTGTTATGTCTGAACTGATATGTTCAGTTTAAACTATAGTTTACTGAATTAAGTCAAGATCGGAAACCACCACTTGATCATAGCTTATTTCAGTAAACCATAATTTAGTAGGGGTAGGAAACTTGTAGAACTCCTGATGTTTTGGTCTACAACTTCCAACAGTTCTTGCCAGCATAGCCCATGGTGAGGGATGCTGGGAGTTGTAAACCCACACATCCGGAGGTGCACAAGATGCCCACCTCTTCTTTAAAGTAACCACAGTTTAGTGGGAACAACAAATGATTAGCTGTAACTATACTCTCTGTCATAGGAACCCTAGAATTGCAAAACTAGTATAAGACTTCAAGAGGGGTGGAAATAGTGGCGAGCTTTATACCAAAAGCTACTGTGCAATAAATAATGACATCATAATTTTAAAGCTTACTTGACAGTACAAAGTTCAAAGTATGCACTATCCCAGTTCTGGTTCAATGTGGTTACAGTT